TGTAATGTTGAATAGTTATCGAGATATTTACAATTAAACATAGCGTCGTGACGTCACGTGCGAACTTTTCAGTATAGAGTAGCGTGTTACTCGGCACTGTAAATATGAGCCGTGAGAGCGCGTTGGTTGGACGGGGGCAGTAGACGGATGAGGGGCAGAATGTGCAGGTGACGTGGCGCCGGGTATCTACCGCTACTGAAAAATAAATTATTGTCAATAATTGAAATCACTTCCCTTATTTTAATGATGTGTGAAATGTTAAAATTATAAACGATTTACTGCAAAATTATGTATGAATGTAATAGATTTGAAGACATGTATATTTGTTTAAAAATTATTTTTTTAGATAATTATTTTGTTACCATGATTATATTTTATTACTTTCCATATGCATATAAAGTTCAGAGAAATATTTTTTTATTCCATATACCCATCAATCCTTGTTTGTACGATTAATTCAAAAATTTCTATAATACAGTCTTTTAACTATGGGATTGATGAAAGAATTATCCTTTTAGTATATTTGTGTATTCCATAAAATTTTAGGATTGTATTGTGTCCGGCGTTTTTTCTCCATTGATAAAAATTAATAAACCGAAATGAGACGATTTTAGAGATTAGAGATGTCCGACATGAACAGGTATCTTCAGAGAGACAAAAGAAAGGACTTTCTCTCGCTTTTCTTTTTATTTTTAGAGGGAACATTAGAAAAGTCTTCTCGCGCGGAGTGACAATATCAGGGTTAGAAATTCAGGGATAGTTGAATAGAATAAACTTACCTTTTTCTCAGCAAACCGGAGATTAAAAATAATAAATATTATTGTCTGCGGCGCATGGATGAGCCAGTGTGTGTTCTTCAGGATGCAGTAATTTCCGATGCTCAAACGAAATCAAAAACTTGCATCATACTTTATGAATTCGTTTCTTTCACGGTTATTATATATTCACATTCACAAAGGTGTGGCATTCTCATAATGTTGAAATTTTTATCGAATCAATGTTTATAATGTTTATATGTATGCAGAGTAAATATTTTCACTGGGCTCAACAGGAAGTAACAAAAATAGTTCGTAGTAAAAATAGGTGGAATGATGATAACAATCGTCTGAATTATTTCATCAATGATAAGTTTAGTAATATTAATTCTTGTCATGTACCCCGAATGAGTTTATACTCAATACTGAGCACGGTATGGTTGTTATCATTATACATAGACACCGACCCAACAAAGTCCTACTTTGTATTTATTGAGTCGGAATTTATGTATGTGTGATTTATGGTGGACTAGAAAGTTTCTCAAGCTGATTTGACTAGAAAACTTTCTGTCCATTAAAAAAAAGAAAAAGGATACATTGTATGCAGTTTTAGGGTTTTGTCATGAAATAAGTTATTCCTCATGACAAAACCTAAAGGCCTTGTGTCAAAAAAACTTGTGTCAAAAAGCTCGGGAAAGAGCTGACCATTCTCAAAAATGGTGGCCAGCAGTCTAACTTTAGATAGAAATTTCATTTTTTCAACATTTCATGCAAATAAAGTTTTTGTTCATCCGTCATATACTCAATGCAAAGATTATAAAGTCAAGACACAGCTAATTTTTGTTGAAAACTGCTACAAATCTGGAGAGAAACTCCTTAAGAACTTTTTACAAAAGCCTTGAATTCTCGATTAAAATTTTTATGTAAGAACATGCTGTGAGTCCACAAAGGACCCCACTTGAAAACACTATTTAAAATGAGTAAGAAGATGTACATTGAACGACACTTGCTTAACGGAGTGAAGAGTCCCAACTTCAGTAACAAATTGCAATAAATATTTATCAGCTAATACTAGTCTGGCTTTCATAACTGAAATTTTAAGTAGAATTGACGCACCATTCACCAGTAATGTCCAATGATCTAAATATTTTTTTGACAATATCGATTTGAGTATGCTATAGAATAGTAACCAGCTAGCCCATTCGTGGGCTCGCCATAAGTTTCTTTCAGACATCTTACGTGGTGTTCTAGGAATTTTCCTATTAGGTTTTTATGATAATAGAATTGTACCAACTAACATAATTTAACGACCAAAATAAAATGATTTCTCATGATGTTGTCAGTCAAACCATAATCGAGCAAACTGCTTACATACTCCCAATGCAACAATGATATTGATGTTTGGGATGTCGCACAATATTGAATAACCTTTAATTCCTTTTTCATGTCTTTCAGCATGTATTAATGTCTGTTGATGACTTCTTAACTCAGCTCCAAATGCATTTTCGTTTTTATCGCCATAATAGCCATTAAACTGTGTTGAATTCTGAAGAGTTGGTCTTCCAACTGAGTTACACATTGCAACGCAACCGCGATCAGGGCAAGTTGTCTCAATCCCTGACCGTGTAGGTGCCAATTTACCCAACAATGATCAATCAATTATTAATCCCACCTGTGGATGCCACTCGTTTGTTAGGCCACAAAACGAGAAACCTGGAAAACTTGGAAAAGCTGGCTAGCTCGAATACACCTGAAAACCGCGAAAAATGTCTCGCGCGAACACAAATAAACTTTCCACCAAAATTTTCATTCGGTAATTAATTTTAATTACGAGCAGTTCATTAATCAAAACAAAAACTTTATTTTTATTCAGTGTAAAACCAGTGAGATTTCATTAATTAATTAAAGAAACGCATTAATTTATACAAACTCTAAAAAGCGCAATTCAATTAACTCAAAAATAATTATTCTACTCTCTAGAGACAATTACTCAACAATAATGATATTCCACTGAATTTACCTTAATTAATTTACTTATTTGCCTTAATCGCAAAAGAAACTTTCAAAATAAATTTCAATGTCAACGATAATAATAATAATGAATCGCTCTACAATTAATGAAGACTAGACAATCATTCGCGAGAACGTTCTCGACGCCTTTTATTTTCCAAAACAAAGTGAATTCCTCCAGGAGGAAGAAGGACAGATGGTCCTCAACGCATGTGCTGGTACCAAGCTATACTCACTCTCTCTCCTGCACTTACACGCACTCGGGAATATAGCGAAAAGAAAGAGACAGAAGAAAGTATGAAGATATTCAGGCTTACTGAAGCTCCTCATCTTCTAGATAACCCCGCCTCCTGGTCCATCGGGGCTTGTATACTCGTCGAGACATCCAAAAAAATGTGTAGGAACAACAATTGAACTTCCTGGTTCCACCACTGGACACTCCAACCAACGATAATACAATGTTCTCCTCGCAACGTCGAGAGACTTTTCATGAATGGTTTGTGAACAGTTCACACGCCGCAACGTCGGAAAAAAAGTGGTTGCAGAATTTTTTTTCTGAAGAGACAACAAGCACACGTGTGTTCTCGTTCAAGACTATTTCCGCAATGGCGTTCTTCCGGAAATAATTTAGCTGGCTGGCCACGTGGTGATTATAGCGCCGTCAAAAATTAACTATCTTGACCTGATTGATAAATTAGGTCAACTATTAATAGACAGGTCGATAACGTATCGACCCGCTGAAGGGCTGAATGACAATCGACTCACTCGCCTCGTTACAACATACCAATTAAGATGCGACATTTTTGAGTGTACTGTTTTCCTTGTCATATATATTGAAAACCATTGTTGTACAGGTCTTGAGCTTCTTTAATGAATGGTGTCAAAAATTCATTGTTGAATTGAGTTTTGCTTTTTTCAAACCATGAAGCAGTTAACATAATATTACTTCCACGTTGACGAAGTGACAAGTCATTGAGGGTACATAACAGTGGATAAATGGAGTAATTGGAATGCTCAAATATTGATGCACTATCAAGACTAAAATTAATGCTGACCATATTCTCACTATTGATCTTTTTATATGAAGAACCATGAAAAATATCCTCTATTGCATACTTCTTAATTTTCTTGCCCACTCTTCTTAATTTGATTGCCAACTTGTGTCTGTAAATAAATTTATTCAGTTTTTTTATTACTTCCTTTTATACATAAATTCAGATACATAATATGAATATTGATATTAAACGAAACAAATGTATATTGTAGATTTAATTTAAGAAGTATCTTGGATTTGGAAAGAGATATACTTTGAAAAATTTAAACTTTTTCATATGAAAGTAACAATAAATTTTGTATCAAAAAATTTATAAAAATAATATTTTATATATGACATATTCTCATGAATTGTTACAAATTCTATTTTTCTGTTTAACATACCACAATCTCAGGGATCATACTATTAGAAGATTCGTTGATATTTGCATTAATGTTTTCTTTGCAATTATTATAATCTACACCACGTTTCCTGTAAAAAAACAAATATAATTGGAAGTATGCCATTGATTTCATTCTTGATTTTCAAATTATTCGAAAATACTATTATAATAGCTCTGATATCAATAAACCTGCTCTTGTTATTTCTTCTAGTCCAATGTCTTAATGTTCTACTAGGAATACGTTCTTTACTTCCTAAATAATCGTATGATTGATACGTTTTTCTTCTTTTCTTCAAAATCGGTGAATCAGTTGAATGTTTACGTGATGAATTCATAATTATTGATACATAAGTATTAATTAAAATACTATATAAAGAATTTCGTTAATTAAATCAATGTGCGAGCTCAAAAGCATACGAAACAAATAAACATAATTTGATACTTGATAGCTGGCCTCTTTCTCTTCCTTCTTTGATTTTTTGTTCGCTGATCGTCACAGTCATGCGCAGACTGGTTGTTTTAAACTAACAACACGTGAAGTATTCTGGGCCGCATGTTTGTTTGTCGATTGTTTTTGTGCAACGTTTCATTGTAAATTCGTCAGAATAATCAAATTTTTAAGTAAGTAGGTAAAAACTATTGGAATACTACGTTTTATATTTTCAACTGAATGAAATGTAACATTCTTAATGAATAAATTTCGATCATAGTGGGAAGTTGCTTTCAACCGGTGTTTTGTTGAAGAATGGTATGACCACAATACGCATTAGTGAAATGACTAGATGGAGATGATGCCGGAAATTTTACACTAGGTGTTCCAATCAGCTGGATAAGAAATTTCGATATCGAAGAGTTTGGATCATCTGACGATCCAGATTTAAGCTATGTCGTTGAATGGCGATGTGGAAAAAAAACCGAAAGGCGGGTGGTTATGTTATGATGTGGCTGTATCGGATATTTCAGGTGAATTGACTCAAAATATACAATTGAAATGTTTGATTGATAGTGAGATTTTAATATATAACTAATACTGACAAATTTGCATATAATAATTTATGTAATGTTTTATTAAAAACAAATACAGATCGGGTATCAGTGTTAGATAGAAAGTTAAAGTTAATGGATGGACTGAAGTCTCCAAGGAACGTGAATGCAACACTTGAAGGTAATAAAGCTAAAATACAAAATATTGAAGATACATCGAATGAAACAAAGTACGAAGAAGTGTGTGAGAGTCAAGATAAGTCAAAAAATAAAAAAGCTGTATGTATTAATTTCTTGATTTATTAAAAATAGTTCTAAATTCATCATAAAATTAAATTTGGACGTATATTATTGTAGGAAATAGCAGTTGATCCAGTTATAAGTTCATCAGATTCTGAAGATGGTCATGTTATTGTAAGTAAAATATTTTTCACATTTTTGTTTTATATAACAAAAAGTTGAAATAAAAATTATATTTCAGATTAGAAAAAAACAGAGAAATCGATCACAACGTAAAATTGATAAGAGTGATGATAAAGAATTATTACCTACTTCGTATAAATCAAAAAAGTTTTTGAATCGAGATATTCCAGGAACATAATTTTAAGAAGAAAAAAAACATCCAACCATTTTAACATTATTCTTGATGGTATATATAGTTCTGTTAAATAATTTTATAAGACATTTTTAAATTATAATTAATCTACGTTTCTATTTTCAAGCTGTTATGATAAACCAAAATCTAATAAAAATAATGGATGAGAAAGTTGACAAGTTTCTACGTATTTCAAAATCTCAACATCCATGTAAATGTACAGAGCAGAATAAAGAAAATAATGAAATTGGGAAGTATGAACTAGAAAAAAAGGAGTTGCAACCATAAATGGTAAATAAATATTAAAAAATATTCAAATAGATGCGTATCTCTGTTTTATTATTAGTTGCTATACATATTTAAAATTACAATAAAAAAATTAATAATATTTAAGCACAACTTTGGCGGTAGTGGAATATTAATAACTGAAGATCAGTGGCATGCTGCTATATCAAAGCCGTCGTATACTTATATGGGAATAACATTGTTAACAACTATGTTTAAAATAGATGTTTTCTTGAAGAGTAATTTAAGAGTAATTAAGATCCAACGAAAATAAAAATAATGAAAAAACAAATGTAGAAGTATGTATTACCGTTCATTGTAAAACGCTCTCTTAATTTTTTTATTTACTTTTCTATCTTACAGAGTGATTTAAAAATTACTGAAAAAAAACAAGAAGAAAAGTGATGATAGTAATTGCGTAAAGTTCATATAATCATTTAATAGTTCTTGATATGTATAAGTTTTGAATAAATCAATAAAAAGAGTGGTTTACAACCGAAAAATAGTTATAATATTTTGTTGAAATATACAAAGTCAAAATACCCATATATTACCTGTATACGTCTACATATATTAAAAAGTATATTTAATATATATTCAAAATATAATACAAAAATACGTAAGGCAAAAAGATATGTATATTCCACGTATATGTTCTAATATATTTTGAAAATATATTTTACTTAAATTCAAAATATAATGCAGGAATACGTAAAGCAGCAAAATTCATATACTAGACGTACATGGAAAAGTGAACTTTGAATATATATTAGAATACTATTTAATGTATATTTTCGGATATATTTTTTTCCGTACGGACTTGGACTATAGGTAGAGTGGTGTTGATCTCTTATGAATTTTTCACATGGGGCAAAGTGGAGTATGGTCAATATTTTATCAGGGGATATCACCTGATTTATTAACTGTAATAATCTGTTGATAAATGAAATAAAGCCCATTTCAAAAAATTTTGGAAAAGAAAATAGAATGGTAGAAGAAGGGAGTGCCGTTAGTTTTGAATGTCCTAACCAAGGCCTCGGTCGTAGGTGAGCGATACTTTCAAAATTCCGATATTGTTAGTTAGTTTGAAAATGTATATAATGTTAAAAGAGATAAGTAAAAATACTTTAAAAAAAAAGGTTAGAGAAAGAATATTCTGAGACCTTTCCTTAAAAATGTATAAAATGGGGTAATTAAATTCAAAAATGCATTAGTTAAATATTATTGTTAAAGCTATGATGTCTATCAAAAATATAGAAAAATTGTTAAGTCGTGATCAGTTTTATGAGTCATACATTAGAAACAGACTTATATTAAATTAAACTTTATATAAAAAAATTAAACTAACTGTACCAATAGAATATACAGAAATGGAAAAATGAAACTAGTAATCTTTGCTGGTGGATTTGCATCATATTTATTGAAATATACTAGTACGTATACAGATATTGATTATTGGATAATCCATCATGAGTGTTTTATAAATTATGATAAGATTAAACATCAATATTGCTAGCACTGAATCCATCGATACATTCAAAATTGTAATATTTATTCCATTCCTGATATAAATGCATTCATGCATGAGTTTAATAATAAAAAAAAAACCTTTACAAGTTATCTATGTAAAAGTTACAAAAGAAACATATGATAAGTTTAGGGAAAATCAAAATTTTATCGAACCATATTTTAAATTTATCGATTTAATGTTTGACAACACCATGTGTAAAAAAGGAAGATTTTCATTTAATGGATATTATTTGAATATAAATAACATCGAAGATTATAATCCGAACAAAACAGGCATTTACGAATGCCTGTAAAAATTAGTGCGAAGTCCACATTCAAGTAAAATTTTGAAGATTCTCTGAACAGTTCCATTTATTATAGTTTTTCGTACATAAGGACATTTGAAACAGGATTAGGCAGACTTTAAATCAAAATTGGGCCAAGTTCCATAGTTTTTTGATTTCGAAGATAATTTTTTGTATTCAATTCAAAACTAACTCAAATTTCATGAGTGAATAGTACGTGACTTGTTCGAAAAGATTATGAAAAAAGACACGGCTAATTTGGCGTTTTACTTGATTTCACATATTTTTTTGATCGTACCTTTCTTTCATTTATACTAATTTTACTTGAATATGGACACAATTTTTACAGGCATTCGTAAATAAAATTTTTTGGCAAGAAACATTACATGTCGGACATAATATTACTTTCTTTTATCAGATGGCTTTCTCCACCCTATATAGCCATCCCTTACCCAACTATTAATCTTGTATTCCAAGTATAATAAAAATCATACTGATTATCGAAATAGTTTTATTATTTATTACACTATTTTTATTATCAAACGATCTATGACAGCACGATTTTGCACATCTATCGTAATTCAAAGTTTCAATCATTGAATAAACCACTTTTTTGTTATACGTTTAAAACGAGTACGTTTACAACTTTCTGAAGGTCTGAAGTGTTTATTGTATGAAAACAGAATGTAACCGTGTTTGCTGTTCATTGGCCATCTTTTATTCTCATGATTTAAATCATCGATTTGAACCCACTTCAATAATGTATTTTCTTTCAACTGTTAATATTAGTTTTACTTGAAGGAATCGGAAATGATAATCGGATAGTTTCTTCTGCGTACGAATTGACATAACTGCAAGTATTACATCGATTCACATATTGTAAATGATTAGAGAATAGTTGTTGGATTTCATAATATTTTTTACATAACAAATCAAATAATGATAGAGGGTCTGTTTCCCCATCAGTATTAAAATGATTTCCAATATCTTCTTGAATTTTGACATATCTCCACGTTTTAAAGTCCCCAGAGTCGAATACGATCGTTTTCCAGTGGACGTCTGTGCGTATGTACGTATGTGCGTTCGAAATTATTTTTCGCCTCGATTATCTCGAGAACAAAAAATGATATCGATGTATTTAGCAAAATCGGTCCAGCCATTTTTTTTGCAGAACCAACAAACTAGCAAAAATGGAAAACAACCTGAATTTTGCAATTTACAAATTATACCATGATTCAGACAAAATTTCAAAATCTTTTAAAAAATATAAATATTAAATGATGAGAATACTTGTATAAAAATATGGTGACAATATTTCATCGAAAAAAAAATTTTAAAAAACAAAATCAGCAATGAAAGAATTTTAAACTCGTGTCAGGATTGAGAAAACAGCATTGAAGACGCTATAATAGTCAATAATAATCGTCAATCACATGGAATTGTGTCCATAACAATTGAACATTGTTACTAACAAATGATTATTGATCATAGCAATATTTAAATAATAAGTGTTAAATTGTAATAAACAATAAAAATAGAGACTCTTTCCATGTATATGAGTACTTTTAACGCATAATTCTTTCTTTCACTAAAAAAATGTTAACAACCGTATGACATAAATGAAAACATACTTTTTTCGTGTATAACAATGAAATTTGTTGAAAATAATGAAAAAAAGGATCCATGAAGTATATTCGAATTCTTCTAATGCACAATTCCATTTGTTATAAAGAATGGAAACGAGTTCTATTCAAATGGTTTTTTCAGTTTTTCCACTGGGAAGTTGGTCGTGTGGACCCTTCGGGTCGCACCCAGACCACTGCAGAGCACTGATATTTTTTTAGAACATAGACTTCTCTTCGTTAGGCAAGAGAGGAGAAAATATCACAAGGTTAACGTAAAAGACAGTGATAACAATACGTAAGGCGAGAAAAAGGGCGCTGTACGAACCCTAACGTGAAAGTAAGTGACAAAGGACACATTCAGTAAGAGTGAACACGTGATAGAACGCTCCATGAAGTAGAGTGAAACAGTAAGCGAAAAAATCTTGAATAGCAGAAATATCGCTGTTAGGGGCGTGGCTTATTTATAATTTGTGAAAAATAAACGGAAAATTCTCGTTTAACGTTTAATCAAAAGTTTATGATATAAGATAATTACCTATTAAATATGAAAGCATAGTATGTAGTAATTATAAAGATATTAGTATATAAAAATGCGTTGATGACGTAACACAAAATTTTTCGTGTATAGAGTAGTCAGTAGCCTCGGCGCTCATGAGGGAAAGAGCTATTGAAAAAAAGCGTGAGAGGGAGAGTAGGTGAATGTACACGTGGCGCTGAGTATCTACCGCTACTCTAGATTTTTAAACTGAAAAACGCTAAGAAAAATACTCTCAACGTATGATAAACTTATGGAACACTGGAATCATTGGTCACCATGTATTGGGATATTGAGCAATATGAATTTATCGAGCAATCGATCATCATTATAATTTTATATAAAATGTAATTAAAGTTTCAAACAAGTTTATATCAGAAAATTAAAAACTTTGTAAAGCATAATTTAATAATAGAATAATAATAAGGGAAAATTCTATAATTGTTCTGTTTTATTTTTTTTTGATATACATGCTTAAATTCCTTTTAATCTTAATTTAACAGAAGTATAAAAGATGTACATTCAATAATTTTAATTAATTTACGAATTCAACTACCAAAAAAAATAAAACACTTAGCACTGATGTTGACGGAGAACTTTTCACTTGCTTCAAATATCAGGCAAACGTCGAACGGCCCGTCTTTAACAGATTTATTTTGTCGTGAACAATCTGTAACGAAGAAAGATCCTCTTTTCACAAAAATTTTTTTGTTTGAATAAGGTCTTTTAATAGTTTGCTATAATGAGATGAATAGAAATTTGAGAATATTTCATGTAGAAGTGCATATCTATTATTTACAATATTAATTGAAGTATTCCGGCATAAATTGAGATATACGTGCCGAAATAAAGATGAGAAGATAGGCGGGAAACGGATAGGAAGTTATGGGCGGGAGGGGTAGCACCAGGAAAGGCTAGTTATGCTATGTACTGAGTATAATTTAGTTATTTTGATCTAAGGAAATAAGAAGGAAAGGGATGTATTTTATTGTAAAGAATAACTCAAAGTATCGGACTTTTTATGATAACCAAATTAACTATAGTTTATGTGGAGCATAAACTATGATAGCGGATTAACTACGGTACTTAGCGTCCATTTTTCACCCTTATTGTTTCTTAATAATATATTTAAGTTTTGATTTTTGGTTCTTATTTTGCCAGGGACACGAAATGGTAGATTTCTTTTTAAAATAGCGAATGACCTTGAAAGTATGTAGCTGCAGATTTAAGTGCATATATTCTAACTTACTTTTATGTGGATCGTGGAACTCAGCTCAGCAAGATAATTACGGAGCAGAGTGGAATACAAAATGACGTGAATCAAATTAGAAATCTAATTCTTGGACTTCCGACGGATCGAGATAAAGAACAAGCGAGTACGATTTTCGGTTGAGGACCTCCGTCCTCCTGGAAACCGAGAGTCACGTTTCTCTGGGACTCCTTTAATCCCTGCAAAGCATGCGAATAAGGTACGCGTAGGGATTACCGGGATGAATTGTCTACAC